AGGCAGTGTTGCCGATGCGCCGCCAGGGGGTGGCGTTCTCCGTCCGATAGTGGACCCCAGGCCTACCGACTTGAGTGGGGGCGCTTCGTGGGTGCGATCCTGGGACGGCCCTGGGACCCCACGTCCTAGGCACCCTCCGCCTCCTCCTCCTTCTCCTCCTCCTCCTCATCCCCCTCCTCATCCCCCTCCACATATCCTCCACTTGTCCTCTCCCTACCCCTGCTCTTCCCTCTCCCCCCTACTCCTCCCCCATCCTCCCGCATCTCCCTCCTCACCCTTCTCAGTCCTCTTCCTTGCACCTCATCATCATCCTATCCCCTCCTCCACCTCCTCCTCCTCCTCCTCCTCCTCCTCCTCCTCCTCCCTCCTCCTCCTCCTCCTCCTCCTCCTCCTCCTCCTCCTCCCCCTCCTCCTACTCCTGCTCCTGCTGAGGGGCAGCCTCCTGGCCAGGCTGGTCGGCTCCTGGGGCTTAGGAGGGGGAGGGGAAGAAGTCATTCGGATGTTCCTCGGGGGCGGGGGGCGGGGGAGGAGGTTCAGCAGGAGGGGTCGGAGGCGGAGGAGGGGAGAGGAGTGGGAGGGGGGCGGGAGGGGATGAGGTCCTCGGAGGTCCCCAGAGGGATCTGGAGCTGCTCGTCGGGTCGCGGCGGCTCTCGGAGGTCTCTGGAGTTTCCGCGGGGTGGTCCAGGGGACTCTAGAGGAGGAGGAGGGAACAGGAAGGAGGGAAGAAGAGGAGGAGGAGATTGTTGGCGGCGAGAGCGGGAGGGAAGCGATCAAGGGCGGGCCTTCTCAGAAGGCTCGGATGTCCCCCGGCCTTCTGAGGAGTCTTGGAAGCCATCCCCGAATGCACAGAACACTTCTGCGAAGGCGGGACGGCTTCCGAGAAGCCTCGCCGCCTTCAATGAAGGCCTCCTCCTCCTCACTTCTCCCCCATCGCTTACCGCCGAAAACACCCCCCCTCCTCCGAGCTCTTCCCCCCTCCCCGCCCGCACCACCACACGACCGAGAGGGTCGTCCGCCTCCCTCCGCGCCGCCAGGACCCCCTCGCGCCCGCCAGAGGCTCCCGCCCCCCCCCCCCCCCTGCCTCGGCGCCCGACGCCGACGTCGCGGCGCCGACGTCGCGGCGGCGGCGGATGCGGCGGCGGATATGGTGGTGGCGAGACGTCGGCGGAGGCGGCGATGGGGCAGGGAAAGAGGGAGGAGGAGGAGGAGGAGGGGGAGGAGGAGGGGGAGGAGGAGGAGGGTTATTAGGACGAGGAGGAGGGTTAGGACGAGATGTCTTTGGAAGCTGCTGACGGTTGTTCGGCGGATTTCGGCTCGTCCCCAGAGGGTTCTGTGGTGTTCTCGAGGGTTTCCGGAGGATTCGGATGTGTTGATGATGATATTAATGGCGATGATGCTGATGATGATGACGATGCTGATGATGATGCTGCTGATGATGCTGCTGCTGATGATCATGATGATGATGATGATGATGATGATGATGATGATGATGATGACGATGATGATGATGATGATGATGATGATGGCGATGTCTATGATGATGATGCTGCTGATGCTGATGATGATGATGATGATGATGATGATGATGATGGCGATGTCTATGATGATGATGCTGCTGATGCTGATGATGATGGTGATGGTGGTGGTGGTGAAAACGCTGATGATGACGTTGTTGTTGCTACTGCTGATGCTGATGATGATTATGACGATACTCATGGTGATGCTGCTGCTGCTGCTGATGATGATGATGATGATGATGGTGGTGGTGGTGGTGGTGATGATGGTGGTGATGATGATGGTGATGATGCTGCTGATGCTGACGATGCGGATGCTGATGATGAGGATGATGATGTTGACGAGGATGACGAGGATAATGCTGATGATGATGAAGAAGATGATCGTGCTGAGCGTCGGCCACGCTCACGCGTGGAACCCGCCGGTGACGCCGGCCGCGCGCCCCGCCTCGAATGCGCAGTGGTCTTCGCCACAGCCGTGGCCGCGGGGCAGCGCCTTCGGGGGGGGGGCGAGATCGGGCGACCTTCCCCTCCTCGTCGACCTCCTCATCACCCTCCTCCTTTTCCTCCATCTCCTCCTCCTCCTCCTTCTCCTCCTCCTCCTCCTCCTTCTCCTCTTCCTCCATCTCCTCCTCCTCTTCCTTTCCATCATCCTCCTCCTCCTGCGGCTGCTGGTGCCAGGACCCGGGCGGGACCTCCCTCTCCCCTGTTCTCCACGCGCGGGTCGCTCCTCCTCCTCCTCCTCCTCGTCGTCCTCCTCCTCCTCCTCCTCCTCCTCCTCCTCCTCCCTGACAGGTGGCCCGCTCCGCTCCGCTGGCCTGCGCCAGGTCGCTGCTTCGTGCCCCTCCCGCCTCGGCGGCGCGCCCGGGGGGTGGGGGAAGGCAGGGGGGGGGGGCGGGCCATCTCTCGGGCCGAACGAGAGGGGGGGATAGGGAAAGGGGGGAGTACGAAATTTGCTGCATGCAGCTGGTTTCGGCCCCACCGAGGGGCCCATTCCTCGATGCATGGCCGCCTCCGACGCTGGGAGGCGCCGGGAAAATCAGCTACCTGAGTTGATTCTCACCCCCCCCCCCTGTGCTAGCCCCTCCTTTCGCCCGACCCGAATCTCGGAAGGCTCAGGAGGCGTCTGGCCTTCTGTCAGGCGATCGCAAACATGGATCAAGGGGGCGTGTATTGGCGATTTCCGCCGCCGATCGAGGCGGCAACGGCCGCATTTTGGGGAGGGCACCTCCCCCGATCCATGGGTTTGGTGACCGCGCGCCAAATCCATGGATCGCGTATCCATGTTTGTGCGCCCACGATTCTGAGAGGCCTCCTGAGCCCTCTCCGAAGCTGAACAGGCCAGAGGGCTTCTGAGAAGCCCCGCCGCCTTCTGAGGAGGCTTTTTCCCTCTCGCTTCCCCCTCGGCGCGCCGCCGAATGGTGTTTTCGGCTCATACCTTCGGTCTCCGGCGGCCGTTCGGGACGATCCGGGCATCCCTGGCACGCCCTCGGCTGGGCGCAGCTGCTGGAAAGCATCCCGAGGCTGGAAAACCTCCCGGAAACCACGCAAACGTCAGAAGGCGTTGATTTGGACGCCCGACCCTGGTGCGGAAGACATGGGTGTGAACATGTAATCCCAAACCGGCAGTGGCCGCTGTTGGACAGGCGGCGTTCTGTCTCGGATGGACAACGTCCGCGGCGATACCGAGAGCGATTCTGGCTCAAAATGAACGGGAGATGCTGCGGGTCTTCGTGCCCAATTCCTTCCGTACCACGTCAGTCGTAATTACCCAGTTGACGTCTCCCCCTCGGCGCGCCGCTGGCCATCCATCCATCAGGTGTCCGATCATGGACCCCCTGTGCGACCTCGGCCATCCAGCTTTCGCGCCGAAGTCCGCAGGACACCGCTGAAGACCGCCTGAAGCCGACGAAGGCCGCCGAGGACCGTCAGAAAACCGCCGAAGACCGCCAGAAACCGCCGAAGACCGCCAGAGACCCGCCGACAACCGCCGAAGGCCGCCCGAGGCAGATGGGTCACGAGGGGCCCATGGTCGAACACGTAGCATCTACCCGAGAGCTCGGGGAACGATGCACTGTAAAACTTGTGTGCTACATGCTCGTGTCAGACGGGCGCCTCTAGCATCAACACATGGTACTAGTTCGGAGGGGCGCCAACTATACACCACCACTAGCCCAGGCCATGCAATTCCTTGGCCCTGGATCGGTGTACACCCAGGGCCTACGATAGGCCTGGCCAGGGCCAGTGGTGGTGTACAGTGGGGGCCCATGCCAAGAAACACCCTGCTTGCCTCCAGGGTGCCCTGGGTTTCTTGCGTTTCGATGGCTTTGCGATGGAAGGGGTGACGTCCCCACGCCAGAAATCCAGGGACGTCCTGGGGTCCCAGGCTTGGGTTCCTTGTGGAGGGTTCTCGTGGTCGGGCCCCTACTGCATTGCTTGGAGCTCTCCTACTGGTATGTCCCTCTGCGTTCCAGCAGACGTTGGGCCTTCTCCTCGGAAGGCTCGGGAGTCCCCCGGCCCCTGGGACGTTTTCCGGGCCTTCCCCGCAGGCGCAGGAGACTTCTCAGAGTCACCGGGCGCGTTCCACCACTCGCACAGGGCCTGCTCGCAAACGTCCAAAAACACACGTTCGCCTCGACGTACTGTATCGTGAATCCTCCGCGGGTAGGGGCTCCCCCCTGGGCGTGCCGCCGTCCGTCCATCCGCCCGAGAGAGGCTTCTTCTTCGGTGGCAAGTCGCTCCTGAACATGTGCCCGGCCGCCGCCCCTCGTGGTGGTCGTCGGCGTCGTCGTCGTCGTCGTCGTCGTCGTCGCCGTCGTCGTCGCCGCCGCCGTCGTCGTCGGCGGCGGCGGCGGCGGCGGCGGCCGCGGCGGCATGGTCGTGGTCTTCGCTGTCGGCGGCGTCGTCGGCGTCGGCGTCGTCGATGTCGTCGGTGCTGTCGTCGTCGTCGTCGTCGTCGTCGTCGTCGGCGGCGGCGGCGGCGGCGGCGGCGGCGTCGGCGTCGGCGTCGCAGTTGTGGTCGGCGCCCGCGTCGGCGTCGGCGTCGTCGTCGTCGTCGTCGTCGTCGTCGTCGTGGTCGTCGTCGGCGGCGGCTGCGTCGGCGGCGGCGGTGGGGCAGCGGGCGGTCCCCCCTCGGGGAGAGGGCTGACGCGGCGCGAGGGGCGGCGAGCAGATGGCCCTGTCCTTTGGCCTCCCAGAGTGGGTCCCTCCTCCCCCTTCCCCCTCCCCCTCCCCCCTCCCCCCTCCCCCTCCTCCTCCTCCTCCTCCTCCTCCTCCTCCTCCTCCTCCTCCTCCTCCCTCCTCCTCCTCCTCCCCCTCCTCCTCCTCCTCCTCCTCCTCCTCCTCCTCCTCCTCCCCCTCGTCTGGCACATGTGCCACTGGTCCCCTTTCCAGGAAACAGGCGGGCAGCCTCTCGTTCGCCACCCCAGGCTTGTCCAGGAGAGAAAAACGGTAGTCGTAAGCCTTCCAGGCTTGTGCCGCGGCGGGATGGGCGGGGCCTTGGGGTCGCGGGGCTGTCATCGTTTAGCCGTGCGCGGCGGGCGGAGGCAGTCCATGTCTTAGGGCCTCGTCGCACTGGCGGTGACGGAGGAAAAACCACCCTGAGCGGGTGGTGGTGGGTGCGGCGAGTAGCACGGATGGTCTTGTCGGCCATACGCCAGTGTACCGCACTCGGGTCACATTGTTTCTTCGATGTGGCCGCAGTGGAGGCTCACGGATGCGTGCCACCTGGTCCCCCTTTGGGCAAGGGGGCCTGCGGGGGTGGTCGATCCAGGCCTGGTGATTTGGCAGGTCGTCGAGGGTGCTCCAGGGTTCCGACCTCTCAGAGGCGGGGCTTGGGTCGGCACATTGGGGAGGGGGTCGTTATCTGCGTGAGCAGGGCGGCGGGTGGCAAGGGGCGGCGGTGGACCGTCGCTCTCTGCGGCCAGGTTGTCATGGCGACGCCGTCGCGAATCACTCGCCTCGTTGTGGTCGCAAGAAAAGCCTTCTCCTCTTCCCCTCCTCATCCGCGTCCTCCTCGTCCTCCCCTCCCTCATCCCCTTCCTCCTCCTCCTCTTTCTCCTGCTTTTCTTCCTCCTCCTCCTCCTCCTCTTCCTCCCTGTCTTCCTCCTCCTCCTCCTCCTCCTCCTCCTCCTCCTCTCCTCGTCGTCGTCGTCCTCCTCCTCCTCGTCTCCTCCTCCATCTTCTCCTCCTCCTCTTCGTCGTCCTCCTCTTCTCCTCCTCCTCCTCCTTCTCCTCCTCCTCCTCCTCCTACCCCCCTCCTCCTCCTCCTCCTCCTCCTCCTCCTCCTCCTCCTCCTCCTCCCCCTCTTCCTCCTCCTCCTCCTCCGCCTCCTCCCCCTCCTCTCTCCTCTTCCTCTTCCTCCTCCTCCTCGTCCCTCCTCTCGCTCCTCCTCCTCCCTCCTCCCCTCCTCCTCCTCCTCCTCCTCCTCCTCCTCCTCCTCTCCTTTTCATCCTCCCCCTCCTCCTTTTCCTCCTCCCTCCCTTCCCCTTCCCGCCTTCTCCTCTCCTCCTCCTCCTCCTCCTCCCATCCTCGTCTCCTCCTCCTCTTCCTCCTCCTCCTCTTCGTCGTCCTCCTCTTCCTCCTCCTCCTCCTCCTTCTAACCCTCCTCCTCCTCCTCCTCCTCCTCCTCCTCCTCCTCCTCCTTCCCCTTTTCCTCCTCCTCCTCTTCCGCCTCCTCTTCCTCCTCCTCCTCCTCGTCCTCCTCCTCCTCCTCCTCCTCCCCCCTCCTCCTCCTCCTCCTCCTCCTTCTTCTCCTTTTCCTCCTCCCCCTCCTCCTTTTCCTCCTCCCTCCCTTCCCCTTCCCGCCTTCTCCTCCTCCTCCTCCTCCTCCTCCTTTTCGTCGTCCTTCTTGTTGTTGTTTTTTTCTCCTCTTCCTCCTCCTCCATTCCTTTTTCTGGGAAGTAACTTCTCCCTGTCGCACCCAGGGCAAGTTTTTTAGGGCGGGCCCGGCGTTTCGCCTGGGGCTTCCTCACAATGTATGACTCCGAAGCTTAAATGTTGGAAGCAGTTTCACATATGGAGGGCGGGTCGTTTTCACAATGTGGTTTTCGCCTTAGCGCGGCGCGCATGCGTTTGACACACTGCAAGAATTTGCGGGTTGAGGGCGGGCCGTTTCCAAAATGTGACTCTCGCCTTAGTGCCGCGCATTTTCGTTTCAAACATGTACCAGAGTTTCACGGATTGAGGGCGGGTCGCTTTCAGTTCTTTCAATGGGAATGCACCGTTGTAGGGGCTTATGAAGAGGGAGCTTGGAGGGAGGGTTAATTCTAACATCGTTGATGATTCTTGGGTTTACACTGGTCCTCCTCCTTCTTCTCCCCCTCCCTCCCCTCCTCATCCTCCAGTTCCCCCTCCACCTCGTCCTCCTCGTCCTCCCCCTCCTCCTCCTCCTCCTCCTCCTCCTCCTCGTCGTCGTCGTCGTCGTCGTCGTTCTGCTGCTGCTGCTGCTTGCTGCTGCTGCTGCGGGTGCTGCGGGTGCTGCTGTTGTTTCTCCTCTTCTTTCTCCTCCCCCTCCCCCTCTTCCTCCTCCTCCTCCTCCTCCTCTTCCCCTCTAAGCTGGAGCAGTTCTAGGCCTCCTAGATGGGGTCCGAGTAGATGGGGTACGCGTAGATGGGGGCCGCATCGCCGATGTATCTGCGATGCGGTTCGATTTGGAGCCCGATTTCTCCACGCCGACGGCGTCGATGCATCACCGATGCATTGGCGATGCGGCGCGGCCCTTCGACTCCATCTACTCGGACCCCATTTGGGAGGCCTCTATTGCCCTTTCTCCTCGCCATGGAGCAAACGGGTCGAAATTCGAGGTTTTCGCTTCAAGGTTCGAGACTTCTGACGTTTTCGTCGTTTCTTGGCGGCTTCCAAGCCTCGGGATGCTTTTCAATTGCTGTGCCTCACCGAGAGCGTTCCCCGGGTGCCTGGATCGTCCCGCAGGGCCGCCAGAGACCCCAGTTAAACCCTTACAATAGGTGCCATTCCGATTCCTCCGATACGATTCGATTCGATCTCGATGGCTTCCGATTCCGACTCGATTCGACCCCGGCCGGTTCCGATTCGAATTCCGATATACCAGTGGAGGCCTCATTGGCCCTCCGATTTCCGCCAATTTGAATTCTCCCGACTTGGCTGCCGATGTCCGCCGATCCGGTTCGTTTTCGCCGATTCGACTTTTCGATTCGATTTTGGGCTTTTCTGCTTAAAATCAGACGACCCATGAAGCAAACGGGTCGGGAAACGGCTCCTGCAGGAGCCCTCCCCGGGCCCCACGACCGTCTGAAAATTAGTCAGAATGAAAATCTGGCCTTGGGGAAAGACATCCGTGGTCAAGGACCCACTTCTCTAAGGACCCGTTCGTTTCATGCTACTTCCTCCTTTTTCCCCTGCTCCCTCGTCTCCTGCTTCTCCCCCTTTTCTATCCCCTCCTCCTCCCTCCTATCCCCTCCTTCTCCTCCTCCTTCCTTCTCCGTTCTCCCTCCCTCCCTCCTTCTGTTCCGTTATGTTCTGTTTTATTCTGTTCTCCTGTGGCAGCCCAAAGGCGACATTGGCGCGGGCAAGGTGCTGGCATTGCAGCAGGGCGTCAAAGACTGTACGATTCCAAAGGGATTGCACAAGCAGGTGTTGCCAGAGGTGTTCCATGGGCTCGGCGTGCCCCGTGGTGGCGACGCTGCGGCCGCGAGCAGCACCGGGCAGTGAAGTTCCAGGATGCCTGCCTATTCCCCCTCCTCTTCTTCCTCCTCCTCCTCCTCTTCCTCTTCCTCCTCCTCCTCCTCCTCTTCCTTCTCCTCCGATGTTGTGTTGTTGCCATTCTACCCCGAGCTGTTCTGGCAGCTTCCACCACCCTGTGATGGTCGATGGTAGTGTTGCGCCCACGAGAGAATCCTCTCCCTCACCGTCTTCACCTTCCTCCTCGTCTCACCCACTTCCTCCCTTTCCTCGTCGTCCTACTCCTCGCCATCCCTCGAGTCTTCCCGTTCTCTCCCTCCTCCTATCCTCCTCCCTCCAACTATGCGCATCAGACTGCAACGTGGACAGACCTGTCGCTGTTTTGGCCACGTGCCTCGGCCCACCTACTTACGACCTGATGTCGCCCACGTTTGCAGGACAAGCCTTGAGACAGCATCAGGCTTGCCGTGCGTATCAAACATCTGTCGGCACCAGTGCGCCTGAGGCTGCGACCAATGAGCTCTTCGCAGCATCTGGATTCGACCGCTTAGGTCGCCACCATCGTGCTTTGGTCTGGAACCACCACGAGAGACCCAAGGCAAGCTGCGGGCGCATTGGTGCCGACACAATGCACCCCGAGAGAGCCCTCGGAGCTGGAGGGTACCCCAAGACTCACCCAGACGCCCCGAGAGGGCCACCAACCCCAGATGCCAACCTGAGAGGCCCCGAGAGGCCGCCAAGACGTCACGCGGCGGCCCTCGCCGTCAGGGTCCGCAGAGCGCGGACCACGTCCGAGGACGGCTCTGCTGGTCAGGGGCACCGATCGGGTAGGAGAGGCATCGTGGGGGACACGTCGACCCCCAATGGCCCATTGATCGCCGATAGGGGTCTGATATCAGGCGATCGCACACATGGATCAAAGGGGGCGTGGATTAGCGACGGGTCCTGTTTCCAGGGGAAATCGCGGACTTCCGCCGCCGAATGGGGCAGCACCAGCCGCACTTTGGGGGGAGGTGCCGCGCGCCGAATCCATGGATCGCCAATCCATGCCTGCGCGCCCCCGATGATAGCCCCCTGCCCAGGAACGTGCGGATTCGCCATCGGGGGCCCGACGCCGATCTACTGGCGACGTGCCGCTGCCTGCAGGTCGATGTCCCCCCCTATTTAATGCTGGTCCCCGACCTCTCTCGTTGCCCCTCGGGCCGTCGGCGGCGAGGAGCGCCGGCGTGCCAGCTCTCCTCTTCCTCCTCCTCGTCCTCCTCTTCCTGCGACTCCTTCTGCGTCTCGTCCTCGCGGTGCCGCCAGCCAGGGACGAGGCGATCATTGTAGAGGGGTACTCGAACTACGAGTTCGACCCCTGGTCGGCGGAGACCAGGAGGAGGTGGAGGGGGAAGGAGGTGGGGGAGGGCAAGGAGGGGGAGGGAAGAGGCGGAGGAGGATGAGGAGGAGGAGGGCACAGGGGATTGATGAGATGATGATGATGACGATGATGATGCTGATGGTGATGATGATGCTGATGGTGGTGGTGATGATGATGACGACGATTATGATGATGGTAAGGATGATGCTGCTGACGATGATGATGATGACGATGATGCTGCTGCTGATGATGACGATGCTGGTGATGGTGATGGTGATGATGATGATGCTGCTGATGATGATGATGATGATGCTGATGCTGCTGATGATGATGGTGCTGATGATGATGATTATGCTGATGCTGCTGATGATGATTATGATGATGAGCATGTTGTTGATGTCGATGCTGCTGATGATGATGACGCTGATGATGATGGTGATGATCATTATGATGATGCTGCTGATGATGATGACGATGATCATGATGACGATGCTGATGCTGATGCTGATGGAGATGATGATGATGATGCTGATGATGATTATTGTGGTGGTGATGATGATGATGATGACGACAATGATGATGCTGCTGCTGCTGACGATGATGCTGCTGGTGATGATGCTCCTGATGATGACAATGCTGGTGGTGGTGATGAAGATGATGATGCTGATGGTGATGATGATGATGCTGATGCCGATGATGATGATGCTGATGATGATGATGATGATGATGATTATGACGATGATGCTGATGCTGCTGATGATGAGGATGTTGTTGATGATGCTGCTGCTGATGATGATGCTGATGACGCTGATGATGATTCTGATGATGATTATGATGATGATGCTGTTGCTGATGATGATGATACTGGTGATGATGATGAGGATGAGGAGGATGATGATGATGCTGATGGTGATGATGATGATGATGATGATGATGATGATGATGATGATGGTGGTGGTGATGATGATGGTGATGGTGGTGATGATGATGATGATGATGATGATGAGGCTGACGATGACGAGGATGATGACGATGATGATGATGCTGCTGCTGATGACGATGCTGATTATGATGATGAAGCTGATGATGATGCTGGTGCTGATGATGTTGATGATGTTGATGCTGCTGATGATGATGACCATGTTGTTGATGATGATGCTGATGATGCTGCTGATGATGATGATGATTATGATGACGGTGATGCTGCTGTTGTTGATGATGATGGTGCTGATGCTGATGGAGATGTTGATGTTGATGACGATGATGATGAGGAGGAGGATGATGATGATGCTGCTGATGGTGATGAGGATGATGCTGCTGATGGTGATGAGGATGAGGATGATGATGATGATGATGATGATGATGATGATGGTGGTGGTGGTGGTGGTGGTGGTGGTGGTGATGATTCTGACGACGATGATGATGCCAATGATGATGGAGAGGGTGAGGATGATGAGGATGATGTTCCTGACGATGATGAGGATGATGACAAATGATGCTGATGCTGCTGATGATGCCGATGCTGGTGATGGTGATGATGATGCTGATTACGCTGATGATGATGCTGATGCTGATGCTGGTGATGATGATGATGGTGCTGATGATGATGATGGTTATGATGCTGATGCTGCTTATGATGATGAGGATGTTGTTGATGCTGATGCTGCTGATGATGATGCTGGTGATGCTGATGATAACGGTGATGCTGATTATGATGATGATGATGCTACTGCTGATGATGATGCTGATGCTGGTTCTGATGATGGTGATGATGATGAGGAGGAGGAGGACGAGGAGCAGGAGGAGGAGGATGATTCTGATGATGATGATCAAGATGATGCTGCTGATGATGGTGATGATGATGATGCTGATGGCGACGATGATGATGGTGATGGTGATGATGCTGGTGGTGATGATAATGCTGCTGATGACGATGATGAGGATGATGGCGATGATGATGCTGCTGATGGTGACGCTGGTGATGGTGATGATGATGATGAGTGCTGATGAGGATGTTGCTCATGATACTGATGATGATGATGCTGATGCTTCTGATGGTGATGATGAGACTGTTGTTGATGCTGATGCTGCTGATGATGATGCTGAACATGATGATTATGATGAGGATGCTGCTGCTGATGATAATGATGATGATGCTGATGATGATGATGACGACGATGACGATGATGATGATGAGGATGAGATGGATAATGAGGATGATGCTGATGGTGATGATGGTGATAATGATAATGATGGTGGTGGTGATGATGACGCCGACGGTGATGATACAGAAGATTATGATGCTGACGATATTGAGGATAATAACGACGATGGTGATGATGATGATGATGATGATGATGATGATTATGATGCTGATGATGGTGATGATTATGATGATGCTGATGCTGATGATGATGACGACGATGATGATGCTACTGATGCTGATGAGGATGATGATGATGATGATGATGATGATGATGATGATGGTGCTGATGATGGTATGATGCTGCTGATGGTGACGAGGATGTTGATGATCATGCTGCTGATGCTAATGATGATTATGATGATGATTATGAGGCTGATGCTACTGATGCTGCTGATGATGCTGCTGATGATGCTGCTGCTGATGACGATGTTGATGATGCTGATGATCGCCAAGGTGAGGAGGATGATGATGAGGAGATTTTGTTGATGATGATGATGATGATGATGATGATGATGATTCTGATTATGATGATGCTGATGATGATGATAATGATGCTGCTGATGATGATGCTGATGCTGATGGTGATAATGGTGATGGTGATGGTGATGATGATGATGGTGATGATGATGATGATGATGATGATGATGATGATGGTGATGATGCTGATGCTGATGATGATAAAGAGGAGGAGGATGAGCAGGAGGAGGAGGAGGAGGAGTATGCGGATGAGGGGTTGGGGGGCAGGAGGGGGAGGAGGACGAGGAGGAGGAGGGGTAGGAACAGGATCATGAGCATGAGCGGAGAAAGAGATGATGATGATGCTGTTGCTGATGATGCTGATGATAAGGAGGATGATGATGACGATGATGATGATGCTGATGATGATGATGCGGATGCGGATGATGATGATGATGCTGATGATGATGATGATGACGACGATGATGATGAGAATGATGGGGACGATGATGATAATTATGATGCTGATGATGATGATGATGAT